GTTATTAGGTATAATAATTTTATTATTTTTTAAATAAAGTATTAAATTCACGAATCTATTGACCAAATTCACTAAAAATTTTTTATTGGAATTCTATTCATCGTAAAGGTGATGACAAAATAATTAACATTTAAATTTAAGTTTACATCTTCCTGTAATTTTAAGACTGTTACCATCTATATTAATTGAAACATTATCAGCCAAAGATTTGATTACATCCAAATTATATACATTAGTACGTCTTTTTTTCTTATAAATTCTCATGTCGTAAACGATAGCACAGAGAGGTCCATTAGGTCTCTTGAAATAGACTTTACGTAATAACTTAAAATTTATATTAAATAAACATATCAACAAATACTTTAAGTACAGTTTCAGTGACGAAATTTATATATATGATATTTGATTACCTTTCTTTGGGTAATCCTTGAAATGAATATGAACTATTTGAGTTTAAAAATCATGTTTAAATACTGTTTAAATACAGTAGCTTGTGTACTCTTGTATTTCTATTTCGTCATGTGAAATTACCTCTGTCAGGTAGATTTTTTTGTTCAAAATTAAAGAAAATCAAAACGCCTATCACTATCAAAATGAAAGCTGCATCAAACTTTTCCCATTCTATTAAAAATAGGTTTACTGCACAATTAATCACACGTTATATTTCGATACAATCTACTGTCGTAAGTACTGAAGTATAGAATTTATCCAATTCACTTTATTGAAAAAATTAATTCTGGGGGAAAAGCAAATACAATTTAACGAATTCTATCTTGACCCAAATTAAACTTAATTTGGGCCGAAGACAATTGACAGATCACCCATCTATTATTGTGTCAACTATATTTTAATTTTTGAACTAATGATTAAATAAAATTAAATAATATAAGATGCAAAAAGTAAATAAATAAAGCGTATGCTCTATAATTTCACGAGATCCCAATTTTGCCAAATGATTAATATGATAATAAAGGATTATTATACTCAAGATTCATTATCATTTCCTCAGTAATACTTCAGCAAATTGTTTTGACAACATCAATTTCAATATTATTTTTATCCATTTCGAAGCATCTCTTTGATCCTATAATTACTAAATATTAAACCAAATTTTTGATACTGGTCAATAATAATAAAGTACTAACGCTGATGGCCCTTATATTAGTAATAAATCTTTTTCGGAAAGATTTATCAAAGCTTGTCATTGGGATCAACTTATTTTCTAGGTTTTCAATATACTTCAAAGTACAGGACACAAGATTTTTATCACCATTTTTTATCATATTTATGTAGGCTATGCGTGCATTTCTGTTGCCCTTTCTTCTATCCGTCTTGAATTCAATATAAAAAAAAATATTAATTTAAAAATGACAAAATGAATGACGTAAACTAGTAAAAGTCGGCATATCACTAGAGCTAACCTGTCTATTGCTAAAGCGTTCATTCTCTTCTATAACAACAACCAGAACATTAGCACTTTCCACTCCATTTTTAATTGAATCATTAGTAGAGCTATACGTGAGGTTGATTTTCCTAAATATTTTTACATATTTTTTTTTATAGGCAAAAAGTTTAATATGATGATAATATGCAAAAAATGTAACCAAAACTTGACATAATACACAAAGAGTCCGATAAAGTCTCACATGATTTGTCTTCTTTTTCTTTGATGATTTCCTTATATTTTGACTGACTTCATCATCAGAACCCAAGGTATCCGGTTGCGTCACATATTTTATGCTACTTTTTGATTTCAATCTCCTATTATTATTATTATTATTTTGCACTTTGATTATCAACCTCATCCGAACATGAATAATCAAGCTACGTTTTACGTTTTGATTTCTTTGAATTTCCACTTTCTCATTTCTTACGGTACCAATTTCCAGCAGGAATTCCTAAGAGTGGAAATTTTAAACATCTAGTATGGAAACCTTTGCTACTATCATCGCATAACAAATGTGGTCTTGACCATCTTTCCATTTGTACATAAAACATCCACAATATTCACATAATTCCTTTTTATAGCGATAGCACTCTTCATATTCCGATCATTCTGGTGAATCGTCATCACTTACATCAAAGCCTTCTCCCTGTCAAATTTTTGTTGACAATGATCTATATTAATAATTTTATTATTGAAATTTATTAATCAGCTAGGAAAATTCTTTGTTCAGGCATTTCAGAAATATCATTGATTGACGGCTGGTCATTGGATATGGATTTATCCGTTTCTCTGTTTTTTTTTTTCAGCTTGCTAAAGTTTTGTGATTTGTCAATTATAAATTAGAATTTGGTTATAGAAATTTTATTTAATGTTACTGTGTCAATTGATTAATAAATGCAATAGATTAAACTCAATTTTCATTATAATCTAATTCCATTATAATAAATATTTTAAACATCGACTACATATTCAATGATAATAGTTTCTTACCCTTTTATGTTAGCTAGATCATTGATAATTTTTTTCTTAAGAAATTAGAATCACTCAGATGCGTCCAAATTTTCAGTCTCGTTAGTGCCATCACAAGAAAACAATATTGTTAATGGTAAGTTGAAATATTATGTGAGAATAATGATAAACCAATTCTATTTATAGATATAATAGATGTTTTTTGCAATACATTAAATAATACACGATTTAAAGGTAGAAAGCTAAAACTGATAAAACTTACTGATCGTACAAAGCCACAGTTTTTACATATAAAACCCTTAGCTAATTAGCTTTAGCAGATCTGGCTTATCATGGTTTTGTTAACCAGATGATCTGGCTTAAACGAAAGACCAGTAAAGCTTACTTGACATCTACTATAATAGTACAGGGTATAGTGAAAAATGCAAGTTCTCTTGTATAAGAAAAAAATTGGTTATATTGGATAAAATCATAGAATTTTTTTCAACATATTTTTTTACCTTTGTATTCTATATACATTCACATTTTTCTAATAAAATTTATGTTTTGCTTGATCACTATGTTGATCTAAAATCTAAATATGATAGTGGCCTATAAGTAAAAAAAAAAAAAAAAAGCTTTTGCAAATTGCATATCTTACAGTAATCTATATACGTATGTACACGCGTTTTTGCCCTGGATATTGGTGTACGATAATTTACAAATCTTGTCAGAGTTGGAATTCGGCCTTAAACCGGTCATTATTAGTTACAAGTTATATTATAATTGTATAAAAACTTGGTAAAATAATATACCACACCATTTTTTTTCAACGTGTGCTTCAGCAAAAGAAAGTATAGCACTTTCAAAACAATTTATGAAATATTAGAGTAGGAAAAAGGGAATAAAATAAAACATACTGTATGAAGAAAAATCTTACCTGGCATCCGTAAAGTTAATAAAAGCATATCCGACATTACACTTGTTAACAAAATCGATACGCAAGTAGACAAAATCGTATTGACCACGATGAGTTTTGTTGATCCAATCCAATAACATTCGCTAAATTTTACTTAAGTAAGAAGTAGCCGTGATAATGATTGTCGCAATTGACGTAACTATAGTAATTAATATAGTAAATTGACTATAATGCTTTAACTTACTATATTACTTACTTTAGTTAAGTCCAGGTTACAGAAAGCTACGATAACATTTTACCTGGTACGCTTTTCAAGACCTATTATGAAATATTAAAAATTAAGACATAAAATTAAAAAAAAATAAAATTAAAGGAATGAAATTTAAAACCATTTTTGATTCTTTCAAGATCGAGAGTATTTTTCTTTGTGATAGTTCTGTTACCAGATGAATTCACTGTACTATCTTTGTGCGAGGATGAAGATAATTTTGAAATAATTTTTTGATTCATTTTGGTTGACGTATAAAGGATTTACAGATGCATTTTATACTTAGCATTCGCTATTTATCATTATTGATAAGAAACTTGTTTTTAACAAGTCCAATAAAAAGGAAAATTTTTTAAATAAATAAATAGATATGTAAGAATTAAAACTCGTTTAACTAACAAGATTTGTTTCTAGTTATCTAGTATAATTTATATTGAAATTGTTACCCAGCCGACTGTTTCCTTGGTCGGGTGGTTCAGAATTAAGCTATTTTTTTAAGTTATCTTGTGATATTTTAACAAGATGATTACTACACTTCGAGTTCAAGATAAATTTTAGAAACTATTTGAGATCTTTATTTAAAACAACTTAATCAAAAAAAAAACTGAAAAAAATTCAGATGCCTGACATTATTTAATCAATAAACATTACATTTTTGTAAAATATTATTTGGTAGTAGTGTAAAATTTAAAAAAGCTAATGGCGGTACTCATAATTGTAACTAATTACCCCACCAACCTTAAATTCAAGAAAAAGGTTCTGTTATCAGCAAAAACAGCTGATAAAATTGTGATGTTACTGTTGAAAAAAATCAATACTAAAAATAGAACTACGCAAACAATGATAAAAGTAAAAATAATGTATTTGAATCTCTTTGAGGCTTGAGAGTCTTGAGCATTATTGTTGATGATAACTGTTGCGTTATTCACATTCACTTCTTCATTTTGTTCATTTCGTGTAACACAACTTTCATGCAGTTCGCCAATACTCTGAAAACATTGATTCTTTAAAAAACTGCAAACAAGACAGTTACAATTTTTAAACTCTTCTAAGGGCTCGACAGTTACATTTGAGGTATTTGAGGTTTGAGATGTGAATGATTGTTGTCTTCAGAGGTTATTATTAATTTGAATGTTGGCTTGCACAGGAGTCAATGGGGTTGAGTTTGGTAATTTCTAATGGCTTGATTATTATAGTGTTGAATATGCGGATTAGGCTCAGCTGGAATATAATTTTCATTATTAACATTGTTGATCTCAGTAATTTGTGGAAGTTGATCAGATCCGTTAATACAAGGGTGCTGAGGAAATTGATCGGGTCCGTAAACACGAGAGTGCCGAGGTCCATTAAAAATAAGTGGTTGCTGAACATGTCCATTCGTAATTTGAGGTTGTTGAACATAATAAGAATGTTGATGAAAAGATCCGTTATGGTTAGGACCAACGAAAGGAGGTTGTTGAGTAAATTGATTAGGGCATTCAAATTCATTGATTTGAGAATTTTGTTCATCGTGAACTGAGGTTAGCACTACATCTCTTCTTGCAAATCTTGCGTACAAACAAAAACCGTTACATTCAAGACAATCTTCGGGATATCTTCTTGACATTTTTTTTTTGACAAGAATTAACTTGCAGCCTTGAATTTTAAGGCTTCTTTTATAAAATTTTAATGGATAATTACTTCCACAGTTTCTTTATAAAGCACATTTCCAATGCATTTTTTTTTTTATTCGAACTCAACCCCTGAGTTTCCACAGGTCAAACTACGAGCAAAGTTTTCATCAAATGATCATGTTTGAACTATCTTGGTCAGTCAATAAACTTACCAGTTTTAGCAAAATATAAATTAGAGGTTAAACCTGGTTCCAACCTCTAATATAAATTTAGATATTACACGAACTTCAAAAGAGGAATTCTAATTAATGACCATGATGTTCAGTCAATAGACTTGCTAGTTTTGATGAAATTACATATGTTACAAACTTTTCAGGCTTTATAATAGCGTGTTTAGTAAAATTTTGCTATTATCATATCTGATATTGATTATGTCTGATACAGATTTTATATACATCACGTGAATTTTATTTTTGTATAATTTTTCTCATATCGATATATATTTATAAACCAGTTTTTGGTTGTGATACTTTATTTCGTTAAGTATTTTATAAGTCAGCTAATTAGGATTCAGATTTGCGTGTTTAGTAAAGATAAACTTCAATCATATCTGATAATACTGGTAGTGTCGCATGTTATTTTACTTTTTAATAAAAATATTACTATTATAAAGTCTATCACAATCATATCTGATACTGATCATGTTTGATTCAGATTTATATAATCATGTGGCTTTTAATCTAACAATCTTTTTTTGATAGGAATCGTGTGAAATTTTATTTCGTTTGCGTGATGCTCTAAAAAAAGATTGAAAATTCATGGCAATTGATCTCTTTTGAATTATACAATATCGATATCAAATGAATTTTTGTATAATATGAACCGGTTTTTGTTGTTATTATTGTAATTCCGACAGTACTGCAGTATGAAAAATTACACTAACTATATTTCTATGTGTTTAGGCCAAATTTGTCACTAATTTAATGATAACATAAAAACCATTCTAATTTAAAGTTCAATTCAATTGAAGAAATTACATGATTTTTATACAATTTACTTTAGCAATATATTTAACAATTTTTGAAAACCGGATTACATGCATGAGATAATATATTTCGATATAAACTAAGTCACTATAATTAAAAAACCTGTTTTAATTGTATTTCCGGCAGTAAAAAAAATTATTATAGTTAAGCCAAATAAAGTTGCAAATCTTATAAATATTGATTATTTTAAATGGTTTAATTAGAGATAATATAAATAACTATAGGTTTTACTTTAAACCGTTGAATATCCATAAATATTATCGCAGTTATATATTATTTTACGATTCGTATCTCTATATACAGTGCATAGTTTAATTCTTCTTTAAATATTCACGATTGTTTTTCTTGAGAATTTGAGAATTTTGGTCCTGAAAAATGTCTCCTCCTTGAAGAACTAGAAAAGTTTATGGTGTTGAAAAAACTCCAGGTCATCGATTCAAATGTCCAAATTCCAGATGTCACTGTTCGTTCGTAAAGTATGAAAGGCTAGAGAAACACCTACAAGACATCCATCTTACAACAATACAAGGAATAAGGCATAATCAAAACGCGAGACAAATTCAACGCGATTATGATAGCATTGCCTTCTCTTTCAAAAATAATATGTGTAAACAACTTGATGAAATTTATGAAAAGCTAGAGATTGCCGAAAATAAATACCTACCATTAACCGAATACGAGTATCCTCAGATTGGTGAATTCAGGCAATGTCGTAATAGTATTACCTTATTAAAAGTGGAGATCAGTAGATTTAATGAGAAGCAAATTCGCCTTATCAATAGCATTTTGGTTAATAAAGTTGCCGCGGGTACGTATTATTAACTGTGTTTCATAACAAAATTACTATAGTGTTCTAACATCGCTTTTCACACGTGATCATGTACAATGCACGCTTTTTGGTGAGTACCCTTAATAACAATACGATTCTATCATTGTTTATTAACTTTTGTTATCTTGTTTGTTCCTTGTAGAAGAAAAGGAAAAAGTAGCAACACTTGTTAAAAAGTAAGTTTATTTTAAACAAAATAGTTCTGTTATAAATAACTACTGTAAAGTTTAGATTCTATTTAAATATTAGACTTCGTGAGGAAATTAAATTACTTATGAACGAGCTTAATAAAAAAAATAAAAAGATAAAGGAATTGGAGAAAAAATATATAGCTTTAAATGCGAAATATCACGCTCTTAAAAATGATCACGATACTGGCGATAGTCATTACATGGAAAGCCGACGTTTACTTGAAAGAGAAAATGCTGTATTAATGCGCCATGTAAGTTTTTTTTGCTTAATATGATACGCATTGAATACATTCACTTTATTTAATACTTCACTATGATCAGTTTATAAAATAAATCAATTATTTTGTGGTATTTTTAAATGATAAAATAATTGAACTATTTCATAAATCTGAGATAGTAAAGCATAAAATAAAACCGTTATTGCATGCTTCGTATGCACTAACTGCTGTATTTTATGTTTTCTTCTGATCGTTCGGTAACCCAGCCGTACCGGCTGGGTTACCAACCAATCATCATCGTCCATAAAATACAGCAGTTATTGCATACTTCGTATATAATAACTATATAGTATTTTAATATTTTTTTATAGAATTTGGAATTTTTTGAAGAGGCCGAAGCAACTAATAGAAGAAATCGCGGGCTAGAAAATAATCTACATTTATTAGAGCAACAGGTAAAATTTTTTTACAATAATAGATATCATTATACTGTATATACTTACTATATCTATTGTATATAGAATGTAAAATTATCAAAGAAATCAAAGAATTGACAAACAAAAAAGCGACACTTTCTGAAGTTGTCTATATTATAGATTAATTGTTTGAAATGATCTTTTTTAGACTGACTACATTTAAGATGTTCTTTGATTTGACCAACTAAAATTACACGTGAGATAATAAAGTGATAACTGGTGGATCGGGATTAGTCAGATGATTATTTATTTATTTTGTATTGTTGCCGATCATTGATTATCTCTTTCTTCTTCAAATATCTGGTAAAATAGCATTAATATTTATGGTTTAAATTATGGGTGTCTTTACACATATTAATTTATTATCTGTATTATTAATGAAGAATCTTGCCATACGGATTTTCAAAGTGACTGCCAACCATTTTACAACTGCAACAAAATTACCGCTTAAAACAAACACCGTATCAGGAAGAAAAGAAATTGCAGGTGTCTCCAGGGAAGTATAATTTCATTTATGTTTTTGTGAATTTTTTTGTTATTTTATTCATTCAGATATTCACTCCTGTGTTC